ATTGACTCCTGTGACTGGCAGGGCTGGAAACTCAGATCAGAGTTGACTTTGCAGTCTTGCATCTGAAGACTGGAAATTCCGGTGGAATTTCTCTGTTGCCTTCCAAAGGCAGAATTCCTTTGGGAAACCTCATTATTGCTTTTAAGGCCTTCATTTATTGGCTACGTCTCACCCACACTATGGAGAGTAATCTGCTTTACTCAAAGTCTACTGTGTTATTCATTTACATTTTAAATTTAAGATAACAGTTGATTTACAATCTTATATTCAGCTAGACAGCATAGTGACTCGGTATTTTTACAGTTAAAGTCTACTGCTTTAAATGTCAGTCTCATCTAAAAATACCTGCAGGGCGACATCTGGACTGCTGTTTGACCAAACAACTAGGCACTGTAGCCTTGCCCAGCTGACACCTACAATTAACAAAGGTCTACAAAGGTCTAACAAAGGTCGTAAAGGTCTAGGTGAGGAAAGTAAACTTTGTATGAATGAGAAATTCACACTGATGTTTCAGTTTTGAGTTAGGGCCAGGGCAGAGAGGGCTGGCCGTAACCACCCCAAGGAACCTGCTGGGAAGTTTCTGCAGGAAGCGAGGCTGTGGTGGGATAGGACGCCCCGGGTGCTGCCCTGACCCTCTTCCAACCACAGAAGGCTTCTGCTGGGGGCACGAGGGCATGTGGGGGCTAGTCAACACACCAGTTCAGTCCCTGGGTCCGAAAGATCCCCGGAAGGAGGGAATGGCAACCCACTCCAGTATTCTTGCCTGAAGAATACCATGGACAGAGGAGCCTGGCAGGCTGCAAAGAGTCAGACACGACTAAAGCGATTCAGCACACACAAGTATAAAGAAGAATAATAAACTTGTGGACACCCCAACAGCTTCCATCCTCTATCATTTAAGTTTTGTTTATGCTACAAGACTGAGGTTTGGGGCGGTCCTAAGGAAGGAGTTTTGCTTCCTCTTTTCCTGAGAATAATGAAATAGTCAAAGGGAAGTTCTGCTGGCATCCTCTGCCGCAGCCAACTCACCCCTCTGGATGCACATGGCTTAGTTCTGTGTTCTGATACTAAAGTAAAACTGTAAAGTGCTTTTCAGCTTCTTTGTTATGTATTTAATAACAAAATTAACAGCTAAAAACTTATGGAGCACTCTTCTAAGTCATTTGATCTTCCTGAAAACCTTAAAGGTAGGTATTATAATTATCACCATTTAACACACAATGAGATCAAAGCACAGAGATACACGTAAGTAACTTGTACAAAGTCTTGCAGTTGTTTTTTATAGTAGGCCTGGGATTTATGTTCACACAGTCTGATTCCAGAGTGCATAATCTTAATGACAACGGAAATTTGTATTTGTCTATTGCCTACTGTGATTCTTTTCTATATTCTTTCTTACTTCCTGTAATATTTTTGCACACTTGCCAAGTATGCATAGATACCATTCAGTTCTTTTCATCTTACTCCTGTTAAATGTAGGGGGATTCCATTGGCACCTTCTTTTGCCTGACTCTGCTGATCCTGGACCTGTTGCTTTTCCCTACAGAACTTCCTTTTAAGGGGTCCATTCTGATAAGTTGTATCTTTCCACATTTCTGTTGCCCTGAGGGGATGTGATTAGCTCCATTGGGCTGTGGTCAATAGTAATTGGTCGTTTTGGTCTTAGATCTTTTCTGGGGCATGGGTTCGAGGTGGGCATGTCATTCTGTCAAGTTAAAAGCAAAACAAAACAAAAAATATTCAGTCTTACAGAGAGCAGTTTTGCCAAATCTATCACTGTGACAAATACTTTTGTCCTTTGATATAGAAATTCCATTTGGCTCATTATTCTACAGATAACCTTGGATGTAAATGAAGTGGCCCTTGTACAAAGTTATTCATTGCAGCATTTTCATAATAGTTGTAGACTGGAAACAAATCACATAGTCGAAAACAGGAGATAATTAGGGTACATTCACATGTTGGGAGATGATGTTGTAAATAAGAGTTGTGGAGTTTCTCTGTATGCTGATATGGAAGCCTCTAAAGTTATATTATTAAGGGAAAAAGCAGTCACCTACCTATCTATCTATTACTCTTTGGCAGTGTATATGTATATATACGACGATACTTTTTTTAAAAAAGGAAAGAAATATATAGATATATTTATAAGGAAATATTGGAAGAATATAGGAGAAACTAACAAAAATAGTCACTAGTAGGAGGCCATGGGGGTAACAGGATGAATGGGGAAGACAAGGATGGCAGTAACACTTTTCAAAATTTACCGTTCCAAAAAAGTAAATTAAAAATGTATAAACATGCAAAAATGTGTACATACACACATTTTTATTCCTGTAAGCAATCCTATGTGCCTTTCCCCAGCGGCCACCTTCACTCTTCTCCCACTTAGCTGAGGGGAAGGAGCTGAAACCTAAATCTCTTAACCCTGGTGCTGACTGTCTGTGATGGGGGAGGAAGATGTTGACAAGGCTTTGCAGGAGTCTCTCCGCCAGCCTTCTTTCCTTCCCTGTTTCTTTCCGCATTCCCTGCCTTCCTTCTGTTCTTTTTGTTGATGGAGTTAATTAGCTCAGGGTGAGCACAGTCAGGCTCTCCCACCTACTTTCCAGCCTTGAGAACCCCTGTGATGAATCTGGACCACTTCGCCATCTCTGGATCACGTGGTGATGGGAAAAGCAGATCTCCAGCACAGAAAAACTTCCTGCATCTTTTCTTCTTGGCTATCTCCTTACTGCCCTCCCCAAATTAGAAGTTTTCAGACACTGTCACTGACTTGCTTCTCACTGGTCTGCTTCAGGCGGAGATAGGCAGCAGTGCTTGGAAGGGGAAACAGCACATCATAGATTTCTGGAGTGTTTTGCTCTTTTCCGCCTACCAGCATTTAAGGAAAATGAGACATAAAATTGTAATTCTTATCCATGGTGTAATTCTTTCCTTTTGTTGTTTGCATATGTGCTAAGTCACTTCATTCGTGTCCGACTCTTTATGACCCCACGGACTGTAGCCCACCAGGCTCCTCTGTCCATGGGATTTTTCACGCAGGAATACTGGAGTGGGTTGCCATTCCCTTCTCCAGAGTATCTTCCCGACCCAGGGATTGAACTCGTATCTCTTATGTCTCCTACATTCGCAGGCAAGTTCTTTACCATTAGCACCACCTGTTTATTTTGTATTTATTTCAAAAAGTTCGTGATCTAACTTGACACACCATTTTCCCTAGAGGTTTTTGAAACTTCTTAGGAAAATCTGCCATCTTACTTCACATGCCCTCATCTTCAGCAACTAGTGTATAAGATTAAGTATAAGTTAAGTCGGTTTAAAAACCTATCTTAATGAGTAAGTGAAGATTATTTTAACTGACACTTTAAATGGATTAAATAGTTTAACTTATTTTTAACGCAGGGGAAGCTTCTTTCTGCAATTTTGCATAGTAAAATTTTTTCATGATACAATAACAAAGCAGCAAATCCTAAGCAAGGAAGAGAGTCTGAATTCATTTAGGTTTATTATTTGGGATGTATGTATGTAGCGTTGGAGGGTTGTCATGCCTTGGACTACCGCTGGGTGGCTGGCATTGTGTGCTGTGGACCCAAACCTGACGTACAGACAGAATAGATGACAGGTGGTAGCCAGCAATTCCTTCACTGTTCAGAGACGGTGGCAGTCCTTTCACTCCTTAAGTACATTAGAAAGAAAATTCTCCTATTTTTTCTTCCCATGACAGTTTTTCACCAGTTTTGCTGCATGGCTTCTTCTAAACCTGAGTTATTTCGGCACATGTAATACACTACATGTTACTTAGGTCATTATGAGTAAAATTCTTGTTTCTTCTTGAACTCTGGCTTTTGCCCATGAACAGTAAATAAAAATGCTTGGAATATAGCCTATGGGCCCGTATTTTGAAAACATGGAATTTATATTTATTCTAAATTTTCTGTCTTTTGATAAAAGAATCCCCCTTGAAACTGCCTATTTTGGGAATTATTAGCAACACTGTGAGCATTATCTGAATATTTATTTAAATTAGATTCACATGGAGTCCCTTTCAAAGCTGATCTAATTCTTCCATCTGAATTTAGAATTTTTTAAGTAAAAGAACAAGTATAGACTATAACGATTATTTGTTAATTTCACTGATGAAAACCACAAGGCTGTTTGGAAATTCATGTCCACACCAGGATGCTCATTGCTCCGTAGGAATAAATATGTTTCTCAGGATTAGCTGGAAAAAGATATTCCTTACTTTTCAGAGTCCTTACTATAGTCTCTCTACCAACCCCATTATAATGTGGCCTGACTGTAGACAAACAAAAAGACTAAACCAGTGAATCCTGGGCAACGTGTCATTTGACATTTCAGATCTTCTCTTTATTCTGAGTCAGTGGAGCTGCCTGCTAGCCATCTTTAGGATATTTGTATTGTTTTGTATTTGTGTTTGATACAAAAATAAATTTTGAATTTAATATTGGAATATTCTGTTTCTTTAGGTTTTGCACTTTCTAGTCCACACAATAATTTGTTAGAATAAAGAAGTTGGATTTATACTGCATATGATCAGTACCTTTTTACTAAATACCAAAGTAATTTATTTTAATATGGAGGTTTATGGAGTGAATATAGTACCATTTAAAATTTCCAAATGCCTCCTATTGTATTAAACTGGACCCTCTTTGACTTAGCCTTGACTACCTGTAGTAGCCCTTGTGAAGCTCAAAAAAGACAAGTGATTTCATTTTCCAGTGATCTGTTTGGCACTTCTTTCTTTAAGAACTTTATATTAGAATCCTTTTGAGGTGTTTCAGGTTGAATGAAATTTTCCACTTTTAATGTTTTGATTGAGTTTACAGTATACTTCTGCTTTGTTATGTCTCCTTTTAGAACGAAATGAAATGCTGAGAAATAAATAAAGCTTCCCTCTTCTGACTCGGATCTTTATAATGGGTATCGGAAAGTCTAAAACGGATCCCTGCCGTCTTTCTGTGCCTTGGGATAAAAGCCAGAGTGAGGATCCTAGCAACAGCCGGCACGCGTTGGATTCCAGGCGACCTGAGGACATCTGCCTGCGTGGTGATGCTGTGTGCAGCCGTACTGCAGAGCTGCCAGCGGGGGAGCGGGACGGAGTGGAGGAGGGGCTGGACGAGGACACAGAAGAAGAGGTGTTCCTCAAATTTGTGATACTGCACGCTGAAGAAGACACAGGCGAGGCCCTCCGAGTCCAGAGTCTGCTGGAAGACGACTTCGGCATCAAACCTGGAATCATCTTTGCCGAGATGCCGTGTGGCAGACAGCATTTACAGAACTTGGATGATGCTGTCAACGGGTCTGCCTGGACTATCTTACTGTTGACCGAAAACTTCTTAAGGGACACCTGGTGTAAGTTCCAGTTCTATTCGTCCCTCATGAACTCCGTTAACAGGCAGCACAAGTACAACTCCGTCATCCCCATGCGGCCCCTGAACAAGCCCCTGCCCCGAGAGAGAACTCCCTTTGCTCTGCGAACCATCAACGCCCTGGAGGAAGAGAGTCGTGGCTTTCCTACCCAGGTGGAAAGGATTTTTCAGGAGTCTGTGTACAGGGTACAGCAAGCTATATGGAAAGAGACCAGAAATACGGTACAAAGGCAGTCGGTTGCCTGAGACAGCACACACAACACAAGACAGACTCGTGTTTTGTAAAACAAAACAAAAATCTTCACTTGCGAAAAAAAGTTCCTAGGAAAGGTTTCAATGAAAGAGAACCTTCCTGTTACAGAAACCTGTGGAGCCCAAGAAAGACAAATGTGTGCAGGACAGTCCACAGAAGTGTGGTATTTGATGTTTCCATAAACTGGAAATCATCCGAGTTTCAAGAACTCTGTTTCCTCTCCGTTTTCCTGGTTCATGATTACTACAAAGGGTATTTTAAATTCATCTTCCTAATGTTGAACTTGATCAAAAACTTACAGACATTAAAAAAATGCAATTAATTACCCTTTGATTTTGTTCTCAAAGGACACACAGAAAAAAACATCCTCGAGAGATCTGACCAGCCTGCCTTTCGAGGTACCTGTCGCGAATGTTGTTAACGAAGCACTCCCGGTGTTGTCACCCAGACACGGGGACAGCCAGGCTAGCACATTTAGAATGTTGAGTGCTGATAAATGTGAAACCCAAAATAGATGCGGCAGTGGTGGGGCTCCTTAAATAATCCAATCAAATGTCCTTCCCTTTCTGCTGCAGTTTACGTGCAGGCAGAACTGCAGGCTGTTCCCACCACATTTGTTGGTACTGTGGTTAGGGACTCTCTGCCTGGTGTGGACACGACCCCTGGAGCCAGAAGCTCTCTATGTTGGTCGTCAGCTATGACCAGGGCTTTATCTGAAGAGCTTCTGAAAGGTGTATGTGTCCTTGACCAGATGTTCTCTTTTAAAATCAATAACCTCTCCTCTGCAAGCTGTTACAAATTCTTGTCTCACACAATGCTTTATCAAGGAAATATTTCTCAGTAGCCTGAGTGTGTGGGTGTGTAATGTGAGTGTGTGTTGTAGATTACTTTCAGACTTGAAGTGGGAAATGCATTTTATGGTTTCTTGTCCCACAATGATAGCAAATCGGAGGCTCCAAGCAGACCAGTTCCTTTCTTTCCCAGCCCTTCTGCCCCAGCTGAGATTGACGGTGAACTGCCAAGTGCAGACCATGAATGGGAGAGTGTGAGTCCGTCATGCTGTAATGAGAAAAGCACCCGATAGGGTATCAGAGCACCTGGTTCTTGTCCAGTCTTTTTCACTGAGGAGGAATGTGACCATGGGCAAGCTACTGCCCTCCTTCATCTGTGAAAAGAAAAGGTTGGAGTGATAAATCTGCAAAGAGCATTGTCCTCTTCCAGAATGTGAACAACTAGGAACCAGGAAAGGGAACAAGCAAACAAATGATAGAATTTCATTATATGATTTATAATTTAATAGATGCAGGAGGCTTCATGTATATGCTCACAATGAAAGGATGTTGTATATGTTTACAGCATAATTGACTTCTACTGCTACCCATTATGCTTACAGTCACAGAAAAATATCACAATGCATGCTTGCTTAGATTTTTTTTAATTAAAAAAAATTTTTTTTCTAGAGACCTTTGCTGCAGAAACATTCTGCCCTATTTTTCTTCTCTTTATCCCCACTTCTCCTCCATATCCCCTTGCTAACACTGGGGTTTGCTCACAGCTTTCTGCAGTCCGCCTCTTCACAGTCATGAACCAACATGTTTCATAATCTTGCAAGTAAGTCAGACCTCCCCCGCTACTAGTACTTATTAAAGATAAGATTCATCTCATTGCATGGTGACTTAAAAGTTCCCTTCTGTCATAGTAGCTGACTACTCACTTTTCTTTTTCAGTTCTAATGACAAGCATTTTTTTTTTTTTTGCCATACTGCTTCCTGTATCTCCAGTTTCATATACAAATAAAATATTAACTACTCACCCTTGCCTGCCTGCCTGCCAAAGTTGGAGCAATTGATGCTGGATGGTGTTTTTTAAATAAATGTTTTTATTCTTTACCTTGACTCAACTTGATTATTTTCCTGTGTCAGTGAAGATTGTAGAAAAGTGTTCTGAAAAAAGGCATCAATCTGTACTTCTCTACAGATCACCAGGCACAACGTCGTCACTTGATTTGGAGTTGAATACACTGAAAAATGTTAAGTACTGACTAACTGGTTATGTTGAAATTAACAATTGTAATAAGGGGTTATCAAAATAACTGAGGATAAAAAGAGGTAAAGCTGTGGCCTTTGTCCTGTGAATGTGTATATGCATGTACACGTGCATAGATTCAGACTTACACACAGGGAAATTGGGTAAAATTTTGCCACGTGCTGGAGAATATCCATTCTGAGTGTCTGTGGGCCTCACTGCTCAGCCTGGAGCTTCACAGAACCTGAGCTGTGTCTTCTATGTCAGGATTCTCAGCTGTAAGAGAAAGGAAAAGCCAATGCCATGTGACCTGCACTGTAAGGTAAACTTACTAACTTAGCAAGGGGACCCCTAAGGTATGTGCTTCAAAGATGTCATTAAAAACCCAGTTCTTAGGTACAGTGGAGTATTATGCCACCTTAAAAAGAAATAAAATTCTGATGCATGCTATAACATGGAACCTTGAAAACACGGTGCTATAGGAAGAAAGACACAAAAGGACAAGTTTGGTTCCACTTATATGAGGTGCCTAGAGTAGTAAATTCATAGAGAAAAATAGAGGTGACTAGGGGCTGGGGAGAGGGAAAAAACGAATCAGGTGGGTATAAAGTTTTATGTTTGGGATGATGAAGTTCTGGAAATGGATAGTGGTGATGGTTGCCCAACATTGCGAGTGTATTTAATGCCACTGAATTGTATGCTTAAAGTGGTAAATTATATACGTGTTGTACTGCAATAATTTTTTAAAAACCAGGGTCTTTCCATCTTTCTGCTCTGCCATCCTCAGCGTCCCAGCTGAGTTTTCCTTAAGAGTCGTACCATTGCCGCTTATCAGGCAGACATTGGAGCATCCAGCTGAATCAGAGGGTGGGAGTGGTTTCACCCAAGTGAGGAAAAATATTTCTTCATTGCACTGTTGAAAATAGTTTATACATGGTGATAACAAAAAGTCGTCGGATTTCTAATTGGTTTTATTATTATTATTTTAAAACTTTCTCCACCTGCATCCAGGTGGACCCTGCCCATCACCTCCTCCCTCCACCACACTGCTGTGGAGTGAGACTGCCTGCCTGGGGTTTTGTTTGTTTACTGTGTATCTTTTTAATTAGTTAATTTCTTTATTTTCGGCTGTGCTGGGTCTTCACTGTCCTACACGGGCTTTCTCTAGTTGCAGGGAGCAGGGGCTACTGCCTGGTCGCTGCGGGCTCAGTGCTGCGGCGTCTCTCACAGCACGGGCACTGCACACAGGCCTCGGTAACTGCTGCGTGTGGCGCCAGAGGACAGGCTCGGTGGCTGCACGTGGGCTTAGCTGCCCTGCAGCATGTGGGACCTTCCTGGACTAGTGACTGAACCGGTGTACCCTGCATTGCAAGTGAGCCCTCAATGTTTACTGTGTATCATCATTTTCAGTTCTGTGGTATTTGAGTATTTACATTTACAGATACCATTTTACATTTACAGATACCTTTTACAATTTACATTTACAGATACCTTTTACAATTTTTTAAAATTTTATATTGAGGTATAGTTGATTTACAACGTTGTGTTAGTTTCAGGTATATCGCAAAGTGATTCAGTTACCCATATACATAAATTCATTCTTTTTCAGATTCTTTTCCCATATAGGTTATTAGAAAATACTGAGTATACTTCCCTGTGCTACATATAATAGGTCCTTGTGGATTATCTGACTTATGCATAATGCGTATATATTAATAATCCCCACCTCCTAGTTCTCGCCCCCATTCCCCTTTCCTGTTTGAAAACAGACCACATTTGTTTTCTATGGCTAGTGAGTCTTTGTTTTGGAAATGAGTTCACTTGTATTTATTTTTCCAGGCCAGAATGCTGGAGTGGGTAACCGTTGCCTTCTCTGGGGGAATCTTCCCAACCCAGGGATCAAACCCAGGTCTCCTGCATTGCAGATAGATTCTTGAGCAGCTGAGCCACTGGGGAAGCCCTTAGATTCTACAGATAAGCAATATTATATGATATTTATCTTTGTCTGGCTTACTTCATTTAGTATGATAATATCTAGACCCGTTCATGTTGCTACAAATGGTATTTTGTCATTCTTTTTAATGGCTAATATTCCATTGTTTAAATGTGCCACAACTTCTTTATCTATTCATCTGTCAATGGACAGCTAGGTTGCTTCCATGTCTTGGCTATTGTACCTAGTGCTGCAGTGAACTTGGGTTGAATCATACCTATGTCCTCTACAGATTGTGATCTTCCTGGGTCTTGGTGTTTGCATCCAAAAATGAAGACAGTAATACCTCCCTGGTAGGGTTATTTTGGGGGTTAAATGAAATAATACATGTGAGGTACTCAAATAGTGAGCAATATATGACTTACCATACCACTTCTGTCCCACTAGAACTATGGTGGCCTATACACATTTACTCTGCAACATGGGATGGGGCAGAGGGCAAATATAATTACCCACAACCTTGTTCTTGGAACCCTTGCAACTTGAAAGAAATAGGTTTCAAACAAAGAGGAAGCAAGATGCCGAGCCTTATTTCCATGTGCAGTTCTGTTCCCTTCCTGGCTCTGAGCTTTCAGAAGCCTGCCCTGATCAGCAGATGTGTAGATTACAGGTGTGGGTGTGGAGGAGGCTGGGGGCAGGGCCCATGACTAACAAGTTAAGGAGGCTGGACCATAGATTGGGAAAGTGGGAAAGTGGGGTCTTGATGTGCCAGCTCTGCAGCCAGTTCCGGGGAATGGCCCTGGAGGGGGAGGCCTTCAGCTGTGTGTTGTTGCTCCTGAGGCTCAGAAGAGGTAGGTAAATGTTGCATATATTTGCATTGGAGCAGGATAACCCCTTTAACTTAGCCCTTTTTCAGGATTGGTGGGATCATTTTGCCTAGTTTGGGAATACAGGCTGCTTGAAGCTGCTTAAACTGTTTCCCCTGAGAGGAGTGCTCACCTGCTATTCAGCTTCCCGCCCTGACTGGCTTTTTGCCCTGAGGTCAGGGCTGCTTGCTGGCTTAATCCCTTCCAGTGCAGGTCAGGGCTGTTTTCCACTTCAGTCCCATGTCCTTTGCTTCTGCAGATCCCAAATTTAAAGCCTTAGTGGAGCCTTGACGTGGACCCAAACCTCCTGCCAGGACCTCCTGGTGTAAGGACGGAGGGAGCTAGTTACAGAGACAACTTCCTTGGGACCTCTCATCCTGTGCACTCATTTCTAAACCGCAGGCCTGTGTGACTAGTGAGGTGAGCTTTAGCGTGTCTGCCCTGGGTGTCGGCCCTGAGTCTGGGCCTTTCCGCCTCATCAGTCTTAGGTTACCTGGTCTCCTGTCACCTGATGGGCTGTCACTGAACACGACTGTGCCCTCTGTACTCGTGGGAAGGTCTGAAGGGGAGGAGGAAAGTTCAGGGGGCTCCCAGGCTGTAAAAATGACTATTGACATCTTTAAAGCAATGACCAAAAGGAATGAATACAAGGAGAACCAGTGTTTTTGTCTATGGAACTGATGTTTCTCAGGAGATTCCAAGGAAAAAGAAATGTGTGAGATTTAGAACGTTTAGTGGCTGGATGAAGACAATATTCTTATGTAAATTTGTATTCCAAGTCATACTTGGCAACCCCCATTGTCAATTAACACATTAAGTATGAGTTGGAGTAAACAATACTTGGAAGTGCCATTAATTAATAACTTGAGAGTCTAAAAATGACTTGATGAAAAGCTAAGTTAACATGTGGAGAAAAATAAAAGACACCGGTTCCCCCTCCTCTTTGCCAGTGTCCCAGCTTCCACATGGTTTACTCCATCTTCTGCCCTGGTTCACACCTCCCTCCCTTTCTGGCAGGGA